GCTAGACAAAAAAAGAGAGAGAGAGAGGGATAAAGGGGAACGGAGAGCGAGGGATTGAGGAGGCAGAGGCGCTTTGTGAAGCACGCTGGTGCCAGGCGAAGAGATGGAGGGAGGGGGCAACTTGAACAAAAAAGGATTGGGCATCCCCTTCTTGTTTCAAGTGGGGGCGCATTCCATCAACGAGGCGGGAAGCGGGGCGAGGGAGGAGTGAAGGAGAGTTAAGGAGGAGGCGGAAGGAGGACGGAGCTGGGAAGAGGGAGGAGGAGAGAGGGATGAGGGCGGAGGAGGGGATGAGGAGAGAGGAGCCTTCGAAGAAGTCCAACCCCTCGGGCCACCCCCCTCTGCGCACCGCCGAGAGAAGTCGGCGGATGGGGGATAGCAAGGGAAAGCCAAAACCTCGAGACCTCCAACGTCCTGAACTGAATGAGAGCAGAACTTCGAGGACGTATCCTCGAGAATCGGCGATACGTAAGAACAGGAATAAAACTGCGCAAGTACAAATGTAAGTCGATGTTACTCGCCTCCTCCTCATCATCATCATCATTGTCCTCCTCCTCCTCCTCCTCCTCCTCCTCCTCTTCCTCCTCCTCCTGTGCCTCAGCCTCCAATTCCACATTCTCCTCCAGCTTCTCTCCTTCGATAGATAGATAGATAGACAGGTGGAGATATTTTGATATATGTATATATATATATGGAGAGAAATTATATATATATAAGTTTAAATGGACTGATGGATGGATAGATACATAGATGTATACATACATACCTATCTCTGTCTGTATGTATGTTTGTTGTCTGTCCACTTGTCTGCCTCAATGCATGGATGTATGTATGTAACCATCCACCCCTTCCCAGGGGAAGGCCTCGCGGGTGCGCGTGGCCCGGATGATGATCTCGGTGCGGATGGGCGTGACGCGCACCTCGACGCCGGCGTAGCCGTCCTCGCGGCTTCCAGTCACGATGCTGCGACGGCCTCCTCCCATGACTCGGAGCCGCTCTCCTCTCCCCCATCCTCCCCTCTGCCCCCTCCTGGTGATCTTGTCGCCTCCCTCCTTTTCCCTGACCTAGCCTTTCCTTCTTAGCGGCATGATCATTCAATCCTCCTCCTGCTCCTGCTTCTCCCCCTCCTCCATCTGCTCCTCCTCCTCCCAAGTTCCATCCTGCTGCTCCTCCTTCCCCTTTTCATCCTGACGTTTGCTCCTTTGCACAGCCTATGTCGCTCCTGCGACGGCAGTTTGCTCCTGGCCACTACATAGAAGTGGCCCAGGCCACTTCGTCAAGAGCCATCGCTTTCGCTGTGAAGGATGAAACAGAAACATCATAGACAGCTCCTGTCACTGATGGCCTGACAGTCCTGGAACCGTCTACGATAGAAATCGCTTCCACCACCCATGCTGCAGCTGCACGCTAACCTGCCCGGCGTACGCCATCCGTAGCTTTGAAGAGGCTCCCACACAGGCCGCCCCCGAGGCCTCCAGGAGACCCTGCACGGGGCCCCGCAGCAGACGCTGAGTGCGAGGAGGAGAAACCGGGAACAACTGCTCACAGGGAGCAAGACGAGAAGTGGCAAACAACAAATATGGCATCGGAAGCTGTACATATCCTCTTCTGTGGGTCGGCAAAATGGGCCGAGGCCCCATCGAGAGTCCCACACAACGAACAACGTCCCCAGGTGGAGAGTCCAGCCTAAGCAGCCTCGAGCGAATCCCTATCCCTAGGACGGGCAAGCCAAAAGCGATGACAATCTCAGGGGTAGGCCCTCAGAAACTGAGGGCATCCTGACGATCGGTATCGAAATAGGGTGATGCCAACACACATGGGGATGGGGATATGTGTCAAACGAGTAACAGCCGTGAAGAACATGTAAGGGCACCCCTCCGAGGTCAGGGATGCTCTTCACCCACGTGCCAGCTGCAGAGGGGGTGGAGGGTCCGAATTTGGCCCTTCGTCTCCCTGGGGGGCTGCTCCTGGAGTGCCCTGGGTCCAGAGACGCCCCCACCCCCCCCCGAGGCCGAAAGCAAAGAAGCTACGCAGGGAGGCCCCAGGAATGCGCCCGGGAAGCCTCGAGGCGGGGGCCCACAGCAGGGCTGGACCTGAACGCTGTTTTTCGTTTTGTCTTCGCGTTGTAAACGTTTTCAATTCGGCGTTTCGACATACTCCTCCTCCTCCTCATCGTCCTCCTCCTCCTCCTCCTCCTCCTCCTCCTCCTCCTCCTCTCCTCTTTCTCCTCCTCCTCCTCTTCCTCCCCTCCTCTCCTCGTCCTCATCCTCCTCCTCCTCCTCCTCCTCCTCCTCCTCCTCCTCCTCCTCCTCCTCCTCCTCCTCCTCCTCCTCCTCCTCCTCCTCCTCCTCCTCCTCCTCCTCCTCCCCCTGCTGCTCATCCTCCTCCTCCTTCTCCTCCTCCTCCTCCTCCTCCTCCTTCTCCTCCTCCTCCTACCCCTCCCTCTCCCCTTTGGGCGGAAGGGGGGGGGAGGAGGGGGGTCTGGCTCCGGACCTCTGCTGAGTGCGGCTGTTTGCAAGAGCGCGGCCTCTAGTGGAGGGACTCCACCCGCTCGAGACAGGCGCCAACAACGGCCAAGATCTACTACTCCATGGGGGAGGGGGAGGGGGAGGGGGGGGGCGAGGGCCGACGCCGATCGGCAAAACAATGAATCAAAAAACGCCCACTTTGTTGTCCGTTCTTCTCCAGCACCTCCCTCCCAAAACGAAAACCAAAGCACAGCCTCCGAAGTTCAGCAGAACAGCGTTTAGGTCCAGCCCTGGCCCGCGGATCCCCTCGGCCCCGGGCGCCCTCCGAGCCCACCAGTCCGTCGGAGGGGCGGCCAGCGCCAGAGGGCGGCGACCCTCAAGATGATCAGCACGCCTCGCTCGAGGACTCCTGGAATCGAGGATCGAGGTTCTCGATTTGAAGTTCGCGGCGAGTGAGGGGGCGAAATGAGGAGGCGAAGGCCTTCTCAGAAGGCGGCGGGACTTCTCAGAAGCCCTCGCGCCTTCTGAAAAATGTTCTGCCTCTTCGGGGAAGGCTTAGAAAACTTCTCAAAGGCCGTGGGACTTCCGAGCCTTCCGAGAAGGCCCGCCCCTTCTCACTTCCCCCCCCTCGCTCGCCGCCGATGAAGGAGGCTGGGTACTCTGGGCGTGCTTGATGGGCCTCCAGATGCCTCCGAGGACCTTCGGGGACCTTCGTGTGACGGTCGCACTGTGAACGCTAGCGGCTGTACCGATAGACCAGGCCGCCTCGTGCTGGGCTGCGATTTCGACGTCATGCACCTCCTCACACCATGCCCCTCTGTGACGGTGGGCACGCCTCAGCCAGCGTACGCATCAAGAACTCGTTGAGCTCCGCGTAGAACACCCCATCCGCGACGAACTTCCGCTTCTTGGACACCTGGAGACTAGACTCCTCCCACGATCATTATCCGTCCCCTCCTTCTCATCCTTCTCCCTCCTCCCTCCATCTCGCTCTCCTCTTCCGTTATATTCTCTCCGGGTCCACCATGGCGACCAAAAACACAAGAATCCCACCAGCCCTGGAGGGCGACAGGTGTTCTAAGGGTGATCTCTGTTTTCTTCCACAACCCCTCTTCCCTTCGGAGAGGGGAACCCTCCCCCTCCCCTCCCTGGGGACTTTTGGGAGGTGTCGCGAGATGTCGGAGGCTCCTTTTTCGGCCAGTGGGAGGGCCAATGTTTGACACCCCTCACGAGGATCGTGGCCCCCGAAAGGGGGGACGCACATCGAGTACCCCCTCTCTTTTGACCGACCGACTCCGAGATGGCCCCAAGAGGCCCTCCAGGGCTCCCCAGAGGCCCCCAAGAGGGTCCCACGAGCGCCCCAGGAGGCCCCAAGAGGGCTCCAACAGGCCCCCGAGAGGCCCCCAAGAGGCCCCCGAGTGGCCCCCAAGCGGCCTCAGAGAGCCAGGATGACCTCCAAGATGGCTCAAGATAGTCCAAGCTGATTCAAGATGGCTCCCAAGATGCCCCAAGAGGTCCCAAGACCGCTCCAAGACGGCTCGAGATGGCCACGGAGCCTCCCCAGGAGGCCGCCAGAAAGCCAGAATCCCCCCTTTCGTGTCTCTCCTCTTTCCCCGTCAGCTCTCATGGGCATCGTTTCTGGATGGGCTGGTGGGGATACGCGAAACGTCAAGAATTGCAGAATCTGCTCGTCGTGCAGACCACTAGGTCCTCGAACCAACAGCATCGTTGTACATTGCCTGGTTGCTTTCGAGCGCGTGAGTGCTGATGCTTCTCTGCTTGAAAAGCCAAGCCCAGGTCGTGCAAAGACTCTTTCAAGAAGGCATACATCCATCTATCAGACATGCCTCTTCTCGTCTTCCGCCACCACCTTCCACTTCATCCTGGTCATCATCGTTATCTCCATCATCTCC